CACTGTACTAATACTCAAGCAATGTCTATGTAGATCCCCTGGTGGCTGTGAAATGGTACTATAATATACACAGTAGGATTTGAATCAATATAACAAGCTGAAACCCACCATGAATAGGTTTTGATTTTGAAAAATATCATATATAGCAACCTCAGGTCCTTTACAGACCTAGCCTCTCAGAACACAAATCATGCCTTCAAATTAGTGACTGCTATTATCACAAAAATAAAAATGGAATTATAAATCCTAGACTAGATCTGCTCTCCCAAGAGCAGCAGGATGGTATCATGCTTCTGTTGTGTAGATGTGGTGCCCAGGTTTGAGGAATTTGAAAATGCATTTCACTTGAAAAGGCTATATATTAACCTTTAATATAAAAATATTTAGTTGATCATTTATGATGCTAGCATTTGGAATAACCAGAGCTACAAAAATATTTTCATGATTTATGTTCTTTTCCATCATTATGTTTTACTTATGTATTGGATGTTTATCAAAGCATCGAGGAATTGTTTCTGACACTAGTGAGTGGAGGAGGGCTGTCTAAAAGGTGAGATCTAAGCAGATATTCGAAAAGCTTTCCTGTTTCCAAGATTGAAACTGCACAAGATGCCACTCCTCTATTAAAGTCTCATTCAAGTCAGGTGCTAAAGAACTGCTCATCTTCCAAAGTTTCCTAGTAAAATTCAAATGCCCCCTGATAGGTAACATTTAACTCAACCTTCAGGTATTACTATGCATGTTATTCTTATGTATGTGGGCTGATAATCTGCCAAGAATAAAGTGCTAAGTTAGCAATTACTGCAAAAGGATCTGGGGAAGTGGGAAGGGAACGAGAGAAGAGTTATGGAAGAAGAGATATAAATTCCCTCTACTTCCACCCAGGCTCTGGAGCGTACCACGTAGCTGAAGTGATGTGATGCAGTGGGCAGAGTTGAGTAAGCCAGAGTCTTACCTGATGTAACCATGGGTCCTTAGATGGAATCCCTCAGTTCTCTGGGACTCAATCTCCTCATGTGCAAAATAAAACTCTTACTGTATACCTCTTAATGTGGTGCTGATAAGTGAGTGAGATACACCATAGGTTAGTTCACCTCCATGGAATCATAAACATGCATGTACCCCGAAACGTTTAACAACAGCAACCCTGTAGGTTTGCCAAAGGATATGTCTCAGTCCTGCAATGAACGCTTTGGGAAATTATACCGTAATAGAATTTTTGGAGAAGAGGCTTCCTGAGAGATTATCTAAGGGTTTTCAAACTTTTTAAAGCTCAAATCCTTCTAATGAAATTTGTACAAATACTATTATGTAAAACAGGGAAAATAGGAAGTTCTCGCTATGAAAGTGAGGTTGGAATAAGAGGTAAGACAGATAAGGGGGATATTCTTGCTCAACAAAGCACAGAACCCCTCAGGGGAGAGCTGCTCAAAAATACATTCAAAAAGCAAAAGGGGGTCCTGCCAGGAGTTAACTGGAACCCAGTCACTTTCAGAAAATTTTAGGAGAAAAATAGATGAAATGTACATGTGTTGATCATTCAAAGCTTACAAAATTAAATTGTAGGCTGAATTTTGATTCTCACAAAACTTTTCATAATAGTTAAAATCATGAACTTAAAGATTTTGCTTGTTCTGTAAGAATTTGTATCATGCAATTTGTTTTTCTCTGGCTGTATCATTTTATAAGCCATTACTTGTATTTGTTAATGTGTCTTTTTTTGTACTAGATTAGCAGTTCACAAATATGTATCGATGACTCAAAAATGGTTCAACAAAGGTTTTGTGATGCTTCTAAAGAAAGACCACAGTAATGAACAATATGAAGTCATGCGCCAGTGTTCATGCCAGTAATCCTAGCTACTTGGCAGTCTGAGATCTAGAGGACATCCTTTAAAAGAAAAATTGTAATTTTTTTTCTAACCTGATCTTTTAGAAAATTTCATTAGATCATTTAATTGACTAGAGTTTTCAAGAGTCTAACTAGTTTAGATAATATACATATGTATATATATATCATTACTGGCATTATTGTATTTATTGTTGAAGAATCTGATCAATATTTAAAACAAACATCACTTTAACAGTGATGTTAAAATATAAACAGATAAATTGTAATGTTTGTTAAAATTTCACTCCAATATAAGAAGACAGGTGAAATCACATCAACACAACTCCTGACCATACAGTGCCGTGCTAAATCATCGGTATCTACCATAAAGTTACCTAGATCTTTCTTATATATTCCTTTGGTATTTAAAATTATGCTTTAAACACCCATCCAATACTTGAATTGTCATAAATACAAAAATACTCCTTTTCAAGAAAACCTACTTCGATTTCTAATATGTTGTACATCTCAAAAGTCTCTAAGTATATGAACTTGAGCACTTTTACGAAAATAGTGGCCAATCTAATTGATTAAATAATCATATCAACTCACACCACATTTTAATGATGTGGTAAAAGTCAGAGGTCCTTTAAAAAATAATCATAAATTACAAGACCTACATAAATTACAAGTCCTTTTCTCTTCCAATCATAAAACAATAAACTAAGATAACAAGTGCATTTTTCTTCAGACTTTGGTTAGAAGCCTTTATCTTCAAAAGAGACAGGAGAAAGAAGACTTAGCTGACCTTTCCATGTTAGAAAGCAGAGCACCTACTGAGATTTCTCTTCCTTGTTGGCATTTCTCTACAAAAGAAGTGTGAGACTAAAGTCAGCTTCAACTTGTGCAAATTAAAAATAACCTTCAGGCTAATGGGTTTTCTACACTACTCCTTATTGAGGAAAAAATAAACTCTACCCCATAAAATTAAATTACTTTCTCAAAACTGAATCTTCTATAAATTGCAACTTTAAGTATATTACACTGAAATGGAAATTCCTACAAAACAATTCCTGCTTCCTGAAGTAAAGCTCCTGTTACAGATTTCATATTTAGTAAAACACCCTAACTAGATCTGGAATCTAAAACCAGAAAGAAATGGAGAAAATCTAGAATTTATTTAAAAAATGGCAAACAACTAAATTCTGGAAACAGAAATGAGATCTTTGAGTAAACAAGCACTATACGTAAAAAATAAACAAATATTTTAGTATTTTAGCAAACATTAAATTTGGAACCATTTTGAGACCTTATAACTTCTCAGAAGGTGACCAGCAACTCTAAATTTTGTTGGAGTAAAGATCAAAAGGGAATAATGAAAAAAATAATAAACTCTGTAATAAGTTTGTAAGATGGTGGCTCTTGCTAAATTTGGAAATCAATCTACATTGACTATATTTTAAGTAATTGAAGAAATTCTAGTATCATCCTTTTTAAATGGAGTTGAAAGTCACAGATATATTGAGTCAATACTTCGTACTGAAAACTGAACTGGTTCCTTTAGTTTTTTTCAAGAAGGGAAGAAAGCATATAACCCACTTGAAGAGAGGGGAACATACATACAGATGACAAGAAAGACTAAACTTACAAACAAGTTAAAAGTACAAATGGCTTATGTTATTTGAAAGAAAGTCACACTTATGAGGCTATGTAAAGCCAACATTGTATCTTTGGTTTAAGGTCAATGGACTGATCCATTAGAGAGTTCAATGATGAAATAGTAGATAGGCAGCTGTGTACAGGATGAACTAAATAAAGTCAGGAGAAATATAATGTGAATACTAAACCTTTCAAACACAAGCTACTATTAAGTGCAGGGATTAACCCAAACATTTCCATATATAAGAACCAGTTGGAAGCCAGCCTGGGTAGAAAAGTCACCAAAAGACTCTTCCAATTAAATACTCAAAAACCAGAAGTGGCACTGTGGCTCAAAATGGTAGAACATTAGCCTTGAGCAAAAAGAACTGAGGGACAGTGCCCAGACCCTGAGTTCAAGCCTCATGATTGGCCAAAAAAAAAGGAACCTGTTAAATCTGCATTATAATGCTTTGAGCTTAATAGGCTTATAACCTAATTTTAATTTTGTATATAAAGGAATTGAAACACTTAATGCCTAGTTGGAATTTGTTTCTTGTTGTTACTTTTTTGGTGCTGGTCCTGGGGCTTGAACTCAGTGTCCTTGAGTTTTAATGAGCAAGACTAGTGTCCTGCCACTTGAGCCACAGCTACACTTTTGATTTTGTTTGTTTGGTGTTTAAATGGAGAGAAGAGACTCACAGACTTTCCTACCTGGACTGGCTTTGAACAGAGATCTTCTGATCTCAGTCTCTGAAGTAGCTACCATTACAAGCATGAGCCACCGGTGCCCAGCTTAATATCTGATTTTTAACAGTAAGCATTTTTTTTCATAGCAACCTCCACAAATACAAGCCAAAGCATATTCCATTTTTAAAGGAAATACTGATCATCCAGAGAAGTGAACAGTATTCTTACTCTCTAAGACGGCTGTCTTCTTTTTAAATGTTTTGTTACAGAAAATTCCAGACTTGCAAAAGTTGAAATAGTATACTGACCCCACCTCTGTTCCCAAGGTTGAGGTACCTTTCCCACACCCCTCCCTCCTTCATTACTTTGGAGTACATCTCCGATTTCACATCATTTTCTTATACTGAAAACTTGGATATATTTCTGCAAAAGATAAGACCATTTTCCCCTCCTCTACACATGACCACAATACTGTCATAAGACTATTCCAAAAGAAAAACAAATCAAGTTTCTATGGATGGCAGGTCCAAGTTGATCTCACGTTCTATAAAAATGAATCTGTCATACATGATCAAAAAATGCTCAGGCCTAATTAATGCCTATGAGCATTCGCATATTGCCCAGTCCGAGGCCCTCTGAACATACACTGGCTCATCAAAACGGAAATGTCTGCCTCTTTTCTAATCGGATGCCACGATCTCTCCCCAGGCTCAGAGACTCGGCCGCTGGGTTCCCCGCCAGGCCCCTGGCCGGGCGGAGGCGGTGGGCCTGGGAACCCCGGGACCTGAGATGCAGGCCCCACCCCGGTTGCCTAGGCGACGAGGGTTGGCTTCACTCCCGCGGCAGCATGGCGGCCACTTCGGTGGGGACGACTCCAGCGGGGACGACCCCCACGGGCCCGACCCCGGGAGGAAGCACGCCAGAGGTACGCCGCCCCTTTTCCGGGCAGGTCCCAGTCTCTTCGCCTCCCAAAGCCTGGCCACTGCGGCGAGGGCCGCCGCTCAGACCAAGGCCTGTCCCGGTGTTGGGAGCTTGGCCTGGCCTGGCAGGTGCTCTGCCTGGTGGGAGGTGGGGCTCGGGGCGGGACAGGAACAGTATAGAGGGGACGGGGTGGGTCCTGAGCCCCGTCTATGGCTCAACCCCCGTCCCCCCAAGTCAGCCCTGGCTCCAGGGGCTTCCAGCAGTGATTATAAACCGTAACTTTGGAGACATTTGCGTTGGGCTGTGGCAAACCCAACCCACCTCACAACCGGGCACTTTCCCCTCAATTATTATTTTTTAAATAAACATGAAAAAGCGAACTCAGGTTTTAAAATAGCCTTGTCCCTTTTGGAAATCGCTGCCAATTGTTTTGTAATGATCAGGGTACTAGTTGCTCAAAAGGTGACAATGAATAATAGCTACGCCCTGCTACTAGACTGAATGCTGCTAGAAACACCAGACCTTGGTGTTTCTGTTATTTTGACATTTCTCTAAATAAATAAATACAGGGTAGGAGACAGGACACAGGACAGGGTCTGCAAAATCTGTCTTCTGGCGGTGGCTTCCTTGTTCTTCATAAACTTGTCTTTGGGAAAAATCACCCCTTAACCTCCATGATCTCCAGGAGCTTCCTCCCGTAAGGCAGATACCCCCTTTCAGTAATAGACTAGTGAGAACCCACTTTACTCAAACTTAATAGCCTGAGATTTTTAACAAAGAGCACATCTGTCATCCCAGATAATTTTTTTAAGTTTAAATTTCCACACTCTGAGTCTATCATATATTTTTTTCTAGGAATTTCTTTCTTCAGTTTTTTTTTAAGATGCTAAAGGATGAATAATAATGTGTTAATTAACATTGCTTTGCTTAGCCTCCTTATTAGTCTAAACAACATGGGCAGAAGATAAGTATATTAGCTGCAATTGTATAAATGAGAAAATGCAAAAAGCCAATAATTTCATGCCTTGCTCTCAGACATGCAAACCCTTCCCAATACAGATCTCTCCCAGTTCCATATGCAGACTGCTAAGCCAAGCCAACTCTCATATGAGCCTTTTGAATAAAATTAGCATACATTAAATGCACATTTTAATGTGATAAACTGGCTTCTAAGCCAGTTACTCCCTTGTGATCGCTAATGTAAGTAATACAATTTCAAAAGTTGCATAGGAAATTTCCCAATTAAATTGCGTTATTTAAACATACATAAAAATTTATGAGCATATATAATTGTCAGTGTACACATACAAATACTTACCTAAGTAGACAATGACCTTTCTAAGAAGATTCTGGTCATTTAAGATCTAATAGGTTTGTGCTTACATTTAGGATACATGTGTGATGATGTAAAGAAGTATGCTCTAGGAAAAATCACATTTTTTTAAAATAAGGGATGAGTTAGGTGAATGACCTACTTATATTTTAGATAATTATCATTTTATGACTGTCATCTTGCCCATTTGTTAAATTTTTAGAGGAGCAGGGATTCCTCATAATGTACAATTCCCAGACAGGACAGTTGACCCATAGAGCTGTGCATTGACTTAAATAGTATGTTCTGTCTAACATGCATTGGTGCTGAATTGGGGTTTTCAGGGTTTAGATGGAAAAGATGGTATGAATTTCTTGTAGTCCATTCTTTTGATTTTTTCTTGTGTCTTTCTCTTTTTATACATTTTTATTATATTTAAGTAGTTGTACAAAGAAGCTCCCATTCTACAAAACAGTATATGAGTACAAAGTGTCTGACAACATTGTCACCATCTCTCTTAACCCATCCCTTCCCTCACTTTTTTTTTAAGTGAGATTGGGTGATTACATAAATTTCACATATTTCACAGTATTGTTGAATAGTGATACTTAGAGTCACAAACACATTTTAACTTTCACAGGCAAATTGACATTATCATGGTCTATACAGTTTGTGAGTTCTATGAGCTTTGACAATACAAGTTATTTTTTCCATATCAGGTGATGTTTACATTTCTTTCCTTTTGCTTAGTGTGGGCTGTTCCCACTTATCCTGTTTCTCCTCCTGGCTTCCCTCTGTTGCGTGCATATATCTACCATTTATGTGGTCCAGAACATGGAGTCATTTAGCAATGATGTGACAAAATGGGTGGCTGTCCTTTGTTTCTTGAGTCCTGCAGTCCTTTGATTTTTACTTGAATATGAAATTCTTTCCAGATCTCCCTCCACCAAGAAATAGGTTCTTTTGGTGTCTTTTCTAATAAATTCCATATCTAAATTGTTGTAGTAATAGACCATCTAGTCAACTGAATCAGGCAATAGTGCAGTATTTCTTAACCTGCAAAATCTACCAGAAATAAACATAAGCTTCCAATCATCTGAGGTTTCCCATTTGTTGGTGATGGCCAACACCTAGAATAAAAACAATTATCCTAATTACGTAGAAGGCACTCAATAAATTGTGATAGCTAATTAAAGTCATAGGTGGTCTAAAAAATGCCAAGAGAAGTAGTTATTGTAGACTAAAATCTTTTCTGTGTGATACTGTGAACATGCAAACATGAGACACAGATCCAGAGAAGTAATTTTTTCAGTGACATTGCATCATAAATTTGCTTGCCAACTTTTTGAGTTTTGCATTCCAGTTTCTTTAGTAATGTTGGACAAAATGCTTCCCCTTAAAATATAAGACTAAACCTTTGGCACTTATCTGTACGAATACATAAGAACAGAGAAAATGAAAGCAAATGTTTGCTGTATATTAGCCTACAAGTGAAACGTTTCTAAATATGTACTTAGAATTCAGTGATCAGTGTTCTAGTTTGTTTATAAACTTTCTTAAAAGCTATAGAAATACTATATGGTAAGTAGAATCATTTAGGGACTCTGCTGTATGTTTCAACTAAGAAGAAAATACAAATGATTATTTCCCATTTACTTCTGAATAATGCCTTTTCAAGAGCCATCATATCCCAAATACCCATAGTTGATAGATTTTTATTGCATTTGGGTCCTTATCAGGACAAGGATGAGTGATGTCACTTGTCTTAGGGGTCATCAGCGTGTCTAGAAGAAATCCACAGAACATTTTCTCCTCATTAAGTGTTAGAAAGTAGGCCGTTCTCTGCTACTGGTAAGTTAGAGAAAAATCTTAGGGTCAATTTGAACTGTAAAAGGGTTTGGCACTTTCATTATCATTCAAGAAGTACCTATTGAAATGATGAATACCTCATCATTTCAATGTATGGAAGTGTTATAGTTGCATAGTTTACATCATTCTATATAGTACTGATATAACACAATGTTAGAATATAGTGCTGGCATTTATCAGACATCCAAGACCTCTAGCAAATACCAGCTGTAGTTATGAAGACATTGACAACCGTTAGCTTGTCTGTCACTGGTCTTTGTAACTCTTTCTAAAAATGTCCTGCTCTTATGCTTTCTGTCTTTCCCTCAAGTGGTATCAAATAATCTTCCATTTCTTTCTAATATTTAAATTTTTTCAATTAAAAATTATTATAAAGGCGATGTACAGTGTGTTACAGTTACATGAGTAACTTTTGAACAGTGTCACCCCTCCTTCATTCTATTTCCCCTCTCTGCTTTCCGCCCCCAAAAGTTGCATAGTTCATTTCCAATATAGTGTCCAGTGCCTTTCACTGCTGAATTGGTTCACCCTCTTTCCCACCATTTTTGTGATTCCCCTTCCTCTCCCTAAATCGGATAAATTTACATACACGACAAAGGGTACAATTTTTTAAGAACCAATATAAAGTATCAATATGGAACCTGGCACCCAAATACAAATATTGCCATCCTTTAACCAAATCCTCATAAATTCAAGAAACTTTAGAGCATTTACATGACACTCATACAGATAACTTATTTTAAACATGTGTGCAATTGATAAAGATCTTACCATGTCATTCTCTTTTGCTCAATTTGCAACTTCACCCTCTGTGAACCAGGTGGACACTTGTTTTTGAGCTGACTTTGTTGGGAGTTTAGGCTTGAAGCAAACTAATTTTTTTCCCCATTTCCCTTTGCCGTTCATCAGATATTATGTATTCAGTTGGACTGCTTCTATTGTTAGTTTATATAGTTATACCCAATTGTTTCACTGATATTTCTATCACTTTTATAATATATTATGATCAAATCCATCCTTTTAGTTCTCTTTCTTCCCCTCTTTTCTCTCTGTTTTCAACAATTTCATAACATTTCATTATTCTAATGCACACAATATGAAATACATCAATCATATGCACCCATTCTTCAAAGTCTGACTGGAAATAATAATGAAACTCTTTGTTATTTTAAGTTTTATTTTTGTTTAAACTAAGAGTTTGACAAGACTTAATTTTTGATAAATGTATTTTGTATATGTGAAATGAAGATCAAATTTTGTTTCCTCCTAGCAGTAAATCATAATTGTCAGGCTTATTTGATGAATAAACCATTACTTCTCTTTTCCAATGAAAGTGCACTGACTATTGCTATTACATTGTTCACATATATAAAAACAAGCACAAAGATGGATAAACTTGGATGAGAGTAAAGAATTCAGGATGTACATGTGTTTAAATACATATTACAAATGTAGAAACACATGAATGTATATAACTTATGTGTATATAATTAATTTTGGGATCCTCTATTCTTTTCCACTGCTTAGTTGATCCACTCTTGTATCAATATTATAACACATTTATGTTAGCTTTAATATCTAACTTGGAAAGGTCCATATGTTTATTTTTCTTTTTTCCAAGTGTATTTATCCTCCCATAAGGACTTAAAAGTTTTCTTGTATAGTTTTAGAACAATCTTATTGAGATTTGAGATTGTCAAATTGTATTGTATTTATATAAAATTGTATTGTCATTGTATTATATTTACAATATGGTAGAGTATTTCATTTTTAAATGTGAAGGTTTCTAATACATTTATCTATTCTTGATATTTGGATAAAGT